GCCTGGCTGGGCAGAGCTCAGCCCTGCCAGGCTGCCAGGGCTTGGGTTCCACTGGCAGCAGGCAGGGCTCCACGTGAGCAGGGAACACCAGCCGAGGAGCGGGATTATCTCAGCCAGCCCAAACCAGTTCCTGCGCGGCCGCAGCCGTGCCAGGGCTCCCTTCCAGCAGCGCTGTCATGGAAAGAGCGCGGCTCTCCCAGGGCGCCGCTGCCCGCGCGGGGACTGCCCTGCACGGTTATTTTAAGGGCTGAGAGGCAAAGCTCTGCACCTCCTGAATGAACCCTGCACTCCTCTATCCAATCGCCTCGTTATTAATAATGCTTGGGCTGAAAAGCAGGAGTCTGCAGCTAAAAATATTTCTATTGTTCTGGTTACACTCGCTTTGGCTTGTAAAGCTGTTGAAAGGTTGCCGAGTTACTGGAAAAGCAGGAGCTGGGTTACAAGCTGGAAATAAAATTTGCAAGCAGTAATTCCCAGTATTAGAGGGACGTAAAGAGACTTAAAAAAATAAACTTTGACTGTATAATGTCTTTCTGATAAACTGCTAGATTATTAAAACATCCAAAGAGAAACATGCAACTCCAGATCTGCCACATTTGGTTAGTCCAACAGTCTGAATATTCAGAGCTGTGTTAGACAGCAGCATGTACTTCCAAATAATTCAGGAAAAAACCTGCACAGACCAGACAATTCAAAAAAGCAGCTACAGGAGAAGCTTCTTCCCAAGTCCCATCAATTAGCTCTTGCTTTCTGTTCTGCACAGAACCCAAAGATTTATAACCCTCTCAAAAGCATTTTTAATCCTGTCTTATGTAACTGTGAACCTACTTGGCCCTTCCATCTATAATCATGCAGTCATTTCTGAACCTAAGCATCTCCCCAGTTGCTTAATATTCAGAAGCAAATTCTAAAGACATGTTTTACATACACTGCAGTCAACTGCTATTTACTGCCTTTACACTTCTTATGAAGAAAAAATTTGTTCTTCCAGCAGCTTTAAGAGAAAAATGTGCCCTCTCCCTACAGCCCATTGATCTGTGTTTGATCTGCTGTTTGATCTTCTACCTGAAAGAGGTTCAAGCAAAAAAGAGAAAAGAAACCAACCAACCCATGTACACTATAGGAACTGCTGCTGGTAATTTATGGCCAATTTCACTAATTCACATAAACCTCACTGTGTATTCTAAACCAAAAACATACCTAGGTCCCTATTTTGATTGCTTTTAGTGGCTCCTAGGGGTTTATTTCTACCTTGTAGCCAAGTACTAGACAGGTCCACAAAGGCACAGCTGAATTTTGAAGCTCTCTTACAGAGAAAATGAAGCAGAGACTATATATACACTGAAGTGACTAGAGCTGAACTTTATTTTCAGTTAAAGGTATCAGGCAAGGACAAGCTCATTCCAACTGAGAGGTTTAATTACATTCCCATGTTCTCTTATTTAGGACTCTGCTTTCCTCCCACGTGGGATGGGGATATCACCAGTGACCCTGTCTGCCTCTCCACCTCGAGGAGAAGGAAGAGTGATGAAAACAAGCCCAGAGAGGCCGGGCCGACAGGGCAGGGTGAAGGCACTCACCTCCTCACAGACCTCGCGCACGGCGGCCACGCCGGGCTCCTCCTCGGGCTCCATGCCACCCCCGGGGACAATCCATCGGTCTGGATGGCGACTACTGCTCACCAGCAGCACCTGTGGGGAGAGAGACAGCTGATGGGGCACCCGCAGGGATTGTCTCTGTGCCTCACACACCCCCAGACACCACCCACCCAAGGCAGGGCCTTGCCGCCGCTCGCTTCTCCCTCAGCCATGGAAATTGCAGCGGCAGTGACACCGAGGCGCTCCCACACGCTGTGGTACCCCAGCCATGCCTCTCCCTGCTCTGATGCACTGCAGGAGAAACTGTCCTTGCACACCAAAACACTCCTTAGCACTGGGCACAGCATCACCCACAGTGTGAGTGCACTGCAGAGTCCCCACAGCTCGGGATACACCTCAGGTAACAACACAAACGCACAGATGCTGCTCAGCACCCCCACCCTCTGCAGAAGTACCTTGATTTAATTCTCCTGGTGCCTTTGGCCTTGCCTGTCCCTGCAGTTCTGTCACTAACAACAATACACATCCAGGAACTCCCATTGCACTGTTTATGTGCAATTGTCTGAGCACAGATTCTCAGCCCCACTGTTTGTCACTTCTTTTGCAGTAGGCACTGAGGATTCAGCTCTGGAGCCAGCACTTGGCTACTTTTGGTTTAGAGGAGGTTGTTTAATGAGGTAAAAGCAAAATAAAAGCCTACATTAAACCTATTAAACTTAAAACCCCCTAGGAAAGGGCTGCAGGAAGGACAGACTTTTGTGAATGAGAAAAATGGTTCAACCCTCTTCCCAGGAGGGATTTACCATACACATGCTTTGGGGCAGGTTTTCTTGAAACAGTATTTTTTATTCCAGGGTAATCCTGCTCTGGAGAAGTTCAGGTTCTGATTTGCCACCTCCCAGCAAGACAAACTCTAACTAACACTCTCAACTGACTACAGACTGTCCCAAAGAACAGCGAGACGCTGTGCTTATTAAATCTACTTGCAATACACCCATGAGCAGAGATGGAAACTTAAAACAACACTGATACTGTTGTCCAGCTCTCTAAACAAAGCTCGTTCATTAGAGTCATCCTGCTGTACTTCATCATTTCACGGGCACAAAGCTCAGAGCCAAAGCGACTTGCTCCAGAAACTTTCCAACATACCAGTCCAATTAGGTTCCAGGCCAGCTGTAACAGTGTCAGACATTTGGGAGTTACACTGTGGAGACACTGAAATCCCAGGCTTTACTGGGGAAACAGTGACTTGCCAGTAGGATATGAAAAGATTTGCACTAATTACCCAAAGGAATCTACCTACAGAACTCAAACCGCCAAAACAAAAACAAGCACAAGATTTCCAGGATTTTTCAGTTGGTTTATCTTGAAAATTCTCTGACCAAACTCATACTGGAAACAAATGAAGGTGCATGAGCCACCTCAGTTCCACAATTCCAAGTGGGCTGGTGCCTGCCCCATCCTCTGGCCAGGCTGTGACAGAACAGGGCTTGCTCTGCAGTGACATCCCAAGTGTTTGGCCCTCTCCAAGAGGAAGGCAGAATTCCTTTCCTCCAGGCATCCAGTCCATGTAAAACTCCACCAGAAAGCCATGCCTAAATAGGGAATGTAAACTTCATTCATCCTCAGAGCCCTTGGGAGAGCAGCCAGTCCCTGCCAGGCTCCCCAGGCACCTCAGTTTGCCACTGTGCCTCCTCCTAGCACAGCACTTGACTTCTACTCCATCCCCACCCATCATCCAAAAGAGCTTGGACTCAATCTCCTCACTCCAGGTCAGCTGGTGATTCTGAGGACAAAGCTAAAGAGCAGGAACAGCCATTTCAAGTGCACCTTTGCTGCCAGGTGAGGAAGCACCAGCTCTGCCACTTCCTGTTGAAATTCAGAGCTCCAGCTCAAGGGGACAAAAACCCAGAAAAAATATTAAAAAACCTCCAAAGAACCAGATCTTTGAAACTCAGCAGAGCACATCTCACAGCCCTGAACTCCTGCCACCTTCCAGGCGTGAGAACAAAGATCTGCTACAGAACCCTGGACACAGACTGCTCCAGGAAACCTGCTCAGGCTGAGACAATGCCTCAGCAACACACCAGGAGGAACTTCTGGGTGCAAACAATGGTTTGAGGCAAAGTAAATTAACTTCAGCTGCTCTGGCAGTTGAGCATTTTCTGAATAGAATTAACATGAACAACCCTTGGTGGGAAGGAAAAACCTGTCATTCTCACACTTTTATGTAATCAGACTATTTCCTGTTTAATAAAAAGGAAATCCCATCAAGAGAGTGCAGGAAACAAGCCCTACAAGGTCATTCTTTTAAAACAACTTCAAACAGGATATTGCTACCAATGAGCTCTCCCAAGACAAAGGGGCTGAGTTCCAAAGGAGGGGGAGACATTGCTGTGTTGGAAAAAACCCACACTTCCAACACCAGCCCTGGATCCAGATACATGCAATGCATTCAGAGGGATCAAGGAAAAACTTGTCATCATCCAAATGCCAAAAAGGTTTGGGTTGGAAGGGACCTTGAAGCCCATCTCATTCCCTACCACCTTCCAGTAGATCAGCCCAGGATACAGCTGGCTTTTTAGCTCATTAACTTCTTTATTACATAAATAACTTTTATTTTAATACATTCTAAAGTACTTAATTTAATCTAAACAGCCATCAAAAAATAAACCAAAATTTAGTTATGTTTTTAAATCAGGCTAGAACACGTAGGAAGGTCAGATGTTTCCATTTAATCCTTGCCAGGCAACTGTGTCTAAAATGGCTACTGAGACTCTCGGCCTGCCAGGAATTTTGGAGTTGGATTTTGGAGCCACGTCCTGAAGACTTTTTGGAAAAGCATTTGCAGGTAATACACATGTCACATGGCCAAGTTGTGTTTTCCAGGATTTCAAAGACAATGATGTCATTTCAAAGCAGGGAAATGAGCAACACAAGCCTCTCTGGCAAGGCAGGAGGTGGCCCTGCTGAAACTCTCCCACACAATCCCCCACAAAAGAGAAAGTTTAGAAAAATAAGCCAAGTTTGAAGTGTGCAGCAGGGGCTCGAAGCAGAGCCTCAAGGCAAGAACGTTCAAAGCTGCACACAACAAACAAACCCAAACAAACCTGAGCAGTGCTAACCCTGCCTGGAGGAGACAGGAAACACACCAAGACATCTAAGGCTGCCCAAACTGCCACATGGAATAAGGAGCTCCATGGGAAAAGGGGTAAAGAGTTTGTCCCTGGGATGAATATGGGCATCCCTCACACACAACACTTTAAAATAACTGACACTGTGTCCACATGGAGGGGTTTTCCTGTCTTCTTTTCACGGGAATAATGGGGCTCTGCAAAGCAAGAACTGGGCAACCAGGACCAGACAGAGAATTAACTCCCCATTTGTGGAACAGAGGAGCAGAGATTCCCAGGTTCTTCCATGCTAGGGTGGATTTAAACAACATCCACCACCCATTAATAAAACAAGAACACGATTCCTCGAAAGAGGCTCCACAGCAGCACTCGAGCAGACAGAAAGGGCCACAGCCCTGCGAGGAGCTGGGCCACAGCATGGGTGGAAAACGAGCTGAGAACCTTCCAGACTTGCAGGAAAAGCCAGTGCTACCCACCTGTGCCAGGCAAGCTGGCAGCCAGCACAGGGAACAGCAGGCAAGATGTTAAATCCAGGGTCTGGCCCAGCAGCCTCCTGCTGCCAGGAGCTGATCCATAGCTGCTGGCTCCTGACACTGCCTTACAAGCTTCCCCTCAATATTTTCAGGCTTTCCCTCAGTATTGACATGCTTTCTATCAATACTGTCGTGCTCTGTATCAACATTAAGCTATAAATCACACGGTTTGCACAGCGACTGAAGCACAAACCTCCCGGCACTGCACCTCATTTCCCACTCCAGCATCATTTATCAGAGCTCAGCCTGCAAGGAAACTCTGCTGCCGCAGAGGCTGCAGGAGCTGGGAGGAGAAGATGGCTGACTGCAAGGCTTCTGCTGTTCAATCTGCCTTTGTTTAAAGTTTCAGTTTAAAACCAGTGTGTTCTCAGGAGCTGAGCTGTGCTGCCATGTGCCCCATGGCCAGGCAGATCCCAGAGCTGCTGCTGTGTCCAGCATAACAAACACCTTGGATGCTTCATTCAAAATTAACAAAATTCTCCCAATCCCCAAATATCAGTCCTGTAATGCTTTTCTACCTGACAAAAGTGGGATGTTCATCTGACCACACCAAATCACCTTTAAGCTCTATGATCAGCAAGGGGTGAGAACTGGAGGAGTAGGGGGAGAAGAGGGACACTGCTGTCACCAAAGCTGTGCAAAATTAATCTCATTTCCCTGGCAGCAGCACAGCCTCGATGACTCCCCAACAAATCACGTGTTTTGCCAAACTGCAAGGGCAATTTGCCCCAGGGTGCACGCCAGGGCTCACGGGAGGGCTTCTCCCACCCTCTTGCTATTCCAGGCACGTTCTGGAGCTCGCACATGGTAGGAGTGAAGCCAGCAGGGCTGCAGCCCGCCCTGCACCTGCCAGGGTCAGCAGCTGGGACCACAACACACACTCTCACCAGAAATCCCTCCCTGCCCATAACAGCCTGTCCTGCCAGCAGCATTCCAGCTCCTCAACAGGATACGTTTCCTTAGACAAGTGTTATTTTTGCACATGCACCTGCACCAGGCTCCGTGGGATAATGGGATTTAACTGATAACGAGGGATCCAGGAGCTGGAGGTGGGAAATTCACGACAGGACGGCGCAAAAGGGAAGGGATTCGTACTAGAGAACTTGACAAAAGTAAAGCACAAGTTTTGGAACGGGAGCAAGAGGTGAACTGGAAAGAGTTCAAGTCATTTCAAGCGCTTGGATCGCACCTACAGTCCTATAACCAGAGAGGAAAAAATACAGCAGATTCTGTTGGTTTTTAGGCTGCTGGTTAGAATAACAATAATAAATCACCGTGCTGCTGCTCTGGCTCCAGAGCTCCGCAGGTCCTGTTACTGCTACTGCAGAGCTCCTGCTGCCTCAGAGCCACTGCCTGCTCCTAGCAGGGAGGAACACAATCCCAAGTCCTCCCCCTCCAGCGAAATTATGGTTTAGATAACCACAGA